AAGGATATCCAAATACAAATAAATATTGCGTCTAAATTAACTGTTAAAAGTCCCCTATTTTAATGGAACGACAAACTATAAAAATATCAAATCCAAAGCGAATCTATATTCGCCAATACCAACAAAAGTGTAAAGTTTTTGGTTAATCCAAACATTCTAGACCTAAAGTACGCCATGTAGAATATTACCATAAGTCCCATAACTGTGGAAAGAATTTCAAAATTCATTCAAAATCAAACGGTATCTCTTGAATGAAGACACATAAGAATTGTAAAATCAAAAGGAAGTTTTCGTCTATCAATCATAATTTTTCGTTTAAGTTTCGTGGGAGTTGGTTAAATCAAATATAAGTTTTTGCAGGAAATATTCATGGACACACTACAATATACCACAATATACCTATCTAAGACGCGCGTATAAGACCACAATTATGAGTATATGCACAGTGGCGATCATTAACACCTTTCTCGTACACAAACAACCACATATACCTCATTTCAATGAAAATTATGATACAGCGAAGCATCCCAAAGCTTTTTAGTAAGCTACACACTGTGATCCTTAGTTTTGTCAATACGAGGTGCCAAGGGAGACAAAAAACTGTTTTGATCCGCTTACACTCTTATAGTAGACTAAAAAACGATATTGTATTTTATTGAATATAATGGAATTAACCAATTGAAATTTGACCTAGTTTGCATAATGACTCATGTCTACCCTTGATTTAAATGGAGTTAAGGGGACGACTAGTTGATATTCTTGGGTATGATTTTTCCGGATTAAAATACTTTCATTTGTTGCTTCGCATGCCTTTTTTTTTATTTTTGTAGACATTTGTTTTCGGCATTTTGTGCTGTTGTTTATTCATGTGTATACTGTCTTATTCAAAGTTATTTATTTTTCGTTCTTACCAGGTCAAGTTATTCATTTTCAAAAATCTGCTGACCTCCCCCCATCCCATTCTTAGAACGATCTACGTGGATTTGTTGATTGCGGTTTTACTCCAATATACAGACTAGTCAGTATAATTTGTGTTGTAGCTCTTTTCCGTTTTTGTAAACCAGTAGGATCGGGATCATTACATGATGAAAAAACGAAATTCCTTCCACTTCAGTTTTCTAATAAAGGATTCGATGCTATCAACATCAGAAACGTTCTTCATCAAAAAGAGCGATCATCTAAAAAGCACTATAATTTTCATTTCATTTTATTGTATTCTACAGTTACACCAAAACCATTGCACCTAAAGTATTCAACTATAAGCAAGCATAAAAATGTTCAAGTCACAGGTAGATTTGTGTTATGAAAAAATCAATATGAGCCAATTTATGATGAATGTGCCCGAGTTGTCTTTCAACCAAAACAATAATACAAAACGATGTAAAAAAATTAAGTAGATATTTTAATCAATTGGATCTGTATATTTTAGTTATTACAGTCCCAAGGAAATTGTAGATAGAGCACGCAGTGCAAAAGGTCAAGTCAACTACAACCTAGTGTGGTATAATTGCGAACATTTTGCCAGTTCGTGTCGATATGGTTCTAAAATGTCCGACCAGGTATTGTGTGATGATTCTGTAAAGATAAAAAGAAATTTAAGGTATAGTTAATTGTGAAAGCAACCCTAAACAACATAAAAAAACCAATAAGATACCGGTATATAAAGTCAACGAGGCAAATATGGAAAAATTTAATTGACTTTGAGCACTTAACTACTAGGGCAAAAATGCCACACATGTGTCACGCATGTACCTAAAAACGCATGTGTCACAGGTGTGTCACATGCGTAATACACATGTTTCTTGCCACGCATGTGAATCATGCGTGGTACACATGCGTTCACATGCGTAATACACGCATGTGAATCGCATGTGTCAGAAAAACACCTGTGTCACGCATGTGTTGGAAAACGCATGTGACACATGCGATATTTGCATGTGTAACACATGTATAGTCAAACGCATGTGTAACGCATGTGTTACACAGGAACATTTTGTTGATGTGAATTTAAGTTAAATTTTTCACATGAATTTTACGTTAAATTTTTCATGTGAAATTCACATGAAAAAAAAGTTAATTGTGTCCAAGTTGAAAAAAATTAACATCAAAATTAAAACTTGTTTATTAACATCTAATACCTTGTAAGACATATATTCCATTGAAAATCTTATTTTACTTTTAAAAAAATTATTTTCACATGAAACCCCCTTTTTTGAATGATCAATGCATTTAAATGGGGAAACATAATTCGAACCCCCCTTTTATCCTGTGTTGGGACCCTCCCCCTTTTAAAAATGGCTGGATCAGCCCCTGATTATCCTTAATTGTCACCATAATAAATGGTATTTTATCCAATCAGCTTAGGAAAATAATCGCAGTAAAAAAAGGCAAAGTAAATAAAATTGCAATAATTGTCAGATATGGGTCCAGGATCCTTAAAAAAAAGTGAGACTAGACTTGTAAAAAGTCTCTCTCTATATATAATTCCTAAAGGGAGTAGGCCAGGGGATTCTGTGAATCATCCCCCTTCCCCCATAACATGTTCTTCTTATTTGAACAATTGAAAGTTTAATCTTTAAACATTTATTTTAATTAAGATTTTCATTGGTATTTCTTTTAATACATATACACAGGTGAAAGAAGTATGCATTTATATTGGGAGAATTTGGTGTTAATTGCAGAACTTGGAATATCTAGATGTGTTGTGTTGTGTTTTTGTTATTATTGTTTGAATAACTTTCTCAAAGGTGTGTTACAATAACCTTACATCTCTTTTTATTCCTATATATCTGCCAACTATCTTGGACAAAGGACAGACAGATACACCCAGTAGATATATTTAAGTCTTAGGTGCTTCATACAGTTATGGAACTAAATTATAAATTTGAATATTTTATTTAGTATTTTCTTATTTGTAACCCTTGTGTTACAAAAATGACTGATTGTATGTAACATTGACATTGGGTTGTACAAGTGTAAATTTAAAAATTACCTGGTTTGGTAGTTCAAACAAACGTGACCAATTAACATTGTCAATACTTGATTGTTGACCATTCTGATTATCTGTCCAAGTACAAAACTATGCTAACAATATAATATACATGAGCATATAGAAAGTACTTGAAAAGTTTCAGAGTGTTTGGGGTAGTCTGTCCTGTTCAATACGGCTCATAAGATAAAGGGGAAAGCAACACTATTATTGTGTTTAAATCACGACAAACAATAGTCACTACATACTTTCGTCCCTTTAATTTTTAGGCTTATACAATGTACAGAATAATATACCATTATAACTTTATCATACATTTCTTCATCTTTGGTGTGGAATAAAAGCAAAGGATATAATTACCTGCTTATATTTTACTTGTGTTTCAAGCAAGCATTTGGTGGGTTGAGAGGGGTTTACTGTAACGGCGGTTATAAACTTACTGGCATAGGCGGATCCAGGGTGGGGGGCCTGGGGGGCCCGGGCCCCCCTTTTGTGGGAAAAATTTGGTTGATTATATAGGGAATCACTGAAGCATGACTGGAGCGGCCCCCCCATAGGTCAGTCAGCGGGCCCCCCTTATGAAAAGTTCTGGATCCGCCACTGACTTACCACCACCCACGTGCCACCACATCAGTGTCCTGCAGGCATTTGCCCGCAGGTGGTGTCAAAAGTTACATGTGCTTGTGTTTTTTCAAAGTTCATAAAATGTGGAACAAATGTCCTCAATTTCTCTATTCTATTTATAAGCGGGAACATAAATATCAATGATCAGTGTTGGAGCTGGGACTATTGTATAATAGTCTCCATAATAGTCCCAGGTTGGAGGCATTAATGTCATTAATACCATTGTGAGGGTATTACTGGAAAGAAGTTGTTTAAGAATAGATCAACCAAGGATTTGTTTATTGGATCAACGGTGATAACATTTTAAAACTGTGATACCCAAACAACCTTGGTATGAAATACTGTACAGAAATTCCCAGTAACCGTTGGGCTTAACATTACATAAAAACTAAAGATTGTGCCATTGACGGATCCAGAAATTTTCATAAGGGGGCCCACTGACTGCTAAAGAGGGGGCCTCCCTAGTCATGCATCAGTGATTCCCGATATAATAGATCAAATTTTTGCTACAAAAAGGGGAGGGGCAGGGTGCTCTAAATCCGCCTTTATGTGCAACACGAACCTCCAAAATACATGGGTGAACTCAAGTATTGTGAATGATAAAGTTAGGAACTTTCTGTTCAACATGTGGCAACCTAGGTTTGAGTATACATGTAATTGCCAACTTGAAATTAAGTAAGTAAAACTTTGATTTGATTCGCCATATTGGCAAACATGTGAAGATAAGATCTGGTGAGCTTTTCGTCGAATATCATGAGGAGATAGTGTTAAAAATATTTGTATAGTTCATGAGTTGAAAATTATAAAACAAAATATATTGTTTAACCTTGGACAAAAAGATCAAGTCCAAAACTGGCTGTTATTTGTGTAGGCTACCTTAATCTTGAAGAGTATGCAATTCTAAATCAAGGAGCCGGTAGGCAATTTCCTAATAATATTACAAAAGAACTTGTCACAGATTCTTAACTAAACGTCTATCAGATTAGTAAAATTTCTAATTCACTGACATCTGTTGGACATAGATACTCAAATCGCAGAATCTTATTAGTAATAAAAAAAAATCTGTGTTTTCTGTGACATCATTTTGAAAAATATATGTTTATATTTTATTTATAACACTCTAACTGTCTAACATTTAATTCTCCTTTGATTAGAATTTAGAGTAATTATCGTTTGTCAATTTTCCAAACTTTCCATGCCCCCCTCAGCAGAGTTATTTAATTCTGAATGGAACAAAATGTGAATGAGTTATAAATAATATATAAATGATTGAATATTCTTTATTTAGTTTATCTTTATTCTCAATTCTTCCAGAGACATGTATATGCTCTGAGAATAATGTCTTTGCATGATTCTTCATAATTAAGTATACTCAATTGTTCTCTATGATCCTTCTTTCTATATTTTTGCTTTTCAACTATCTATATATTTTTTTTGTGTCCTTATTTAAATCCCCATTCTTGATTCCAGACTAACTCTCATATATATACGTAAATATACGAAAGCTTGGCACGTCGAATACGGAAACCCGGAAATCTTTTCACCGTTGTCGTTTTTATACTATGACGCAAAATCCATGGACGCTCGTCTGCTGCTGAATTCATGTTTTAAAAGAATGGACAAAGATAGTCAGATAGTTGATACAAAGACCTTTGATTTTTCAAACTGATGGATCAAAAGTTATTATAAACAGATATATTGAAATGGGTTAGTAACTTACATTGTCGATTAACTGAATCCGGGGAACGAAAGTCAACGCAACGAAAGTGTTTCGTTTTGATGGATTACGTACCAACTTATTTTACTTGGAAAGCACAATGAAATGTAAATATAATCATGCGCATTTTTAGGAAGATGCTAGTGCTATACTTTTCACGAAAAACCATTTGACTTTATCCATGTCATGCATGTATAAACCCGAAAATCAGTCAAAGATTGGCAAAACGGAAGCAAGTCAACTCGCCCCATTGCAATTGGCAAAACGCCCCATTATTTTAAAATCGCCCCACTCTTGTTTAGGGAGCTACCATTTGATTTTTATGGGAGAGGGGGCTTTGACAGAATTTGAAAAAATGCGGGACAGGAGTTTTGAGTAAAAAAATAAAAGCCAGGACCGAAAAGAATGAATAATAAACTGTCAGGACAGATATTACAACTAAAAAAAATTCGTAAGGGTTCCGCGGAACCCAGTGTCTCGCCTACTTTTTCTGTTAATCGCAGGCTCAACAAAAATGAGTAAGTAAATCAATAAAAATATTCCTCTTGATACTATCTTTTGATTGTAAGAAGCTTCTGTCCAAGTTTGGTAAAAATCCAGGATAGTTTATGAATATAATAAATGTTTAAAAACTTTAACTGCAGACTGAATGTAATGTTAACTGGAAGAAAACAAAATTTCCTTCTAGATACTAGCATTTGATCATAAACAAGCTTCTGTCCAAGTTTGGTACAAATCCAAAATAGTATAAGAAAGTTATTAAAATTTAAAAAACTTTAACCACAGAGTGAATGTGTTGTCTCCTGGCAGAAAATCTAAGTCCCTTTAAAAGTAAAATACGGAAAAAATGGATTTATTTTTTTAACAAAATTTCCTTCTAGATACTAGCTTTCTTTTGATCATAAACAAGCTTCTGTCCAAGTTTGGTACAAATCCAAAATAGTATAAGAAAGTTATTAAATTTTTTAAAACTTTAACCACAGAGTGAATGTGTTGTTTCCTGGCAGAAAATCTAAGTCCATTTAAAAGTAAAATAAGGAAAAAATGGATTTTTTTTTTTTACAAAATTTATATCTGGATACTATCTTATGATCATAAACAAGCTTCTGTCCAAGTTTGGTAGAAACCCAGGATAGTTTAAGAAAGTTATTAAAATTTCAAAAACTTTAACCACAGAGTGAATGTAATATTTCCCGGCAGAAAAACTAAGTCCATTTATAAGTAAAATACGGAAAAAATGGAATTTTATTTTTACAAAATTTACTTCTGGATACTATCTTATGATCACAAACAAGCTTCTGTCCAAGTTTGGTAGAAACCCAGGATAGTATAAGAAAGTTATTAAAATTTCAAAAACTTTAACCACAGAGTGCATAATATTTGTGGACGCCGCCGCCGCCGCCGCCGCCGACGGAATGTAGGATCGCTATGTCTCGCTTTTTCGACTAAAGTCGAAGGCTCGACAACAATGCAGGATAACTGTTCATAACATTTTCATCCTAGCCCCCCCCCACCAAATCAAGTGGTAGCTCCCTTCATACCAACTTGCTTGCCCCACATTAAAAAAAAATCGCCCCACTTGTGAAAAGGATTAAATCCTGTTAAATATACAATGTACTCCTGCCAACAGTGGCAACTTGCCTAACTTGGGTAAAATCCAAATGAATATAATCATGATAATATATAATAAATATATTATAAACAGATAAAGGTCTACCAACTCGCCCTACATGTACTTTAAAAAAATGAAAACTTATCTACCCAGAATTAAAAAAAAAAATTGAAATTTAATATATGATATTTATTGAATTTAAATGATGGTTCACTTCTTAAAATATAATTGTAGATTCATTATTTACTATTATTTAATTTATGTATTTATTGGAAAATAACTTTATTCTTGCATTAGCTTAGTTATTTGCAAAATAATTGCAAAGAAACCTGTTAATTGTATCATAATCTATCTGATTGTTTTTTAGCCGACTCAAAATCATGCTGTTAATTAGGGCCCCCTGTTGTACATGTACTTAGGAATCGGACACCTCCAGAAGATGAAAGATCTACTTTACATTACGTAATGTAAATATAAAAATAAGAAAATGTGGTATGATTGCCAATGAGAAAAGAGAGGAATTGGTAAAAGTCCGTGAAAATTCACTTGTTTTCCAATCCTAATAAAACTGTCATATTGTAATGTTTAAATAACCTAATTATTTTCAAAATAAAATCTTGTTTACACTAATGAGAAAAGACAACTCTCCATCAGAGATCAAATTACATCAAAGTTAACAACTAGAGGTCACTGTACATCCTTCAACAATGAGCAAACCCCATACCATATAGTCAGCTATAAAAGACCCCAAATGAAAATGACAAATTTGTAAAATAATTCAAACAAGAAAACTAGCAGACTAATTTATATACAAAACAAAGAACAAAAAAAACAAAATATGATACACAGCAACAAACGACAAACTGAACCACTGAATTACAGGCTCCTGACATGGGACAGGCACATACATACAAATATGTACAGGATGGGGTGGGGCTAGACTAGTAGTTTGTGGTGCCGAACCCACCTCCTAACCTGGTATATTGATGTGAAAAGGGCTTAACTCGTCAGATCTATACAAAGTAGAAAGACATCTAACAAAACCACACACAAGACGTGGTGGGTACTTACACATCCCCACAACAAAAAAGACCAAGTTCAGATCTGAGAGTACTCCTAGTTACTAACACCTAGTTCAAAGCCAAAAACAAAGTACATTGTACATGTACAATGTATTTACCACCAAACCTTGCCTGGTTTAGTCCATTTCTCAGATACTACCTTATATAAAATAGTCCAACTTTTGGTGTAATTTAAACAACTTTGAATGACTTAAAATTTCAAAGTATCATGATTATTAATAACTTAATCCCCAAAGATTGGCATTATAAATCATGACAGATTCAGAGATCCTGTAATATATACTGTACATGTAATCACTTTTGTTCATCCCTTCATTCAAGGGTCATATGGAATTTATATGATGGATTAGAACATTAATAAAATGATTAAATACTTTTTTGTAGTCATTTTTTTTTCAGGGAAAGTTTGTTGGTCTAGTTTTAAAAGATCAAAGCAAGCCAATTTTGCCAGATCAAAATATTAAAGGCAATTTTGGCAGATACATTGTATTATAACTTCATTTTATTAAACATTATTTATTTTAGCTTTTTCAACGAAAGTACAATTACTTTGAGAAGTAGGAGAAGCTAAGCAACAGGACAGAATTCATTTGAGGCATTGCTTTCTAGATTATATAGTGGAGTCATAGATTGTCCTATTGATTTATGTGGATATGAGGAGCAGTAGTCAATGAATAATTTTGTGATGAGAGGTATGTAATGAAAATGATAACTATGTTTGAATAATTTTTTCTTGTCAGGCTCTGTACATTCAGTTTCGAAGATTTTTTTAAAAGTTTGAGGTCAAAGAGTTTAAAGTTTGATTCTTGTAATGTTGTGGGCAAGTTCGAAAATTATCCATGTTAGAAGTGACAAATTAATTTTTTTACAGGTCATTTTTATAGAAAATTGCATTCAAAGCTCTCTTAATCGCTTGTTCTTTTTTGTCTAGCCACAACAGTTATGAAGCTGTGACTTAGGCATGCTGTTTTCAATAGAGGCATATATAGTCGTAAAAAAATTGTTGATATTCATGATGAGGTCAGTTTAAGGAAACCAAGAAATAAAACCTTTGCACCTTTCGTTGGCGGTATACCATCTTTTCCGCAAGTTCATTGTTTTCTGTTTAGTATTAAATTTATAATTAAGATTTATTATTACATCGGTGATCCGTTTATTTGGCAATTTATACAGGAATAATGTCACTTTAAAATGTATGAGTTAGAAAGTAAGTGCTATTAAAATTTAGGTTTACAGAAGTTATTCCGTGGAAATATATATTGTTTAATGTAATGAAAATTGCATTGCAAGCAATCCCAAACAGGTCTACATTTCTTTTAGATTATTTATGAAAATGTTTAAAAGAACAACCATATTGTATACTACAGCAAAAAAGTTTTGAGGTCGTATATTGCTATCAACTCGTTCGAAGACATTTGGTTTCCGGACAATAACTTCAGTTTAAGTGTATGAATGTCTATGAAATTAGATTTAAAGGTTCAATACCACAAAAGGAAGGTTGGGATTATTTTTGGCGTCATGGTTCAACCCGTGTAGGAATTAGGGGCCAAAAAAGGCCCAAATCGAGCATTTTTCTAAATTCAGGACAATAACTTGTTTATAAGTATTTTAATTGCTATGAAATTGTACCACAAGTAGAAGGTTAAGTTTCATTTTGGGGGTATTTGCCCAAACCATTCAGGAATTAGAGACCAAAAAGGGTCTAAAACAAGCATTGTCAGACTGCCCTATATTATTAATTGATCATGATAAGTTGTTCTCGTTTAGAATACATAAAATATTTGCCTCTGGACATTAAAATAAGAAAAAAAGTCAATCAATTTATGTTTTTGCATTATCAGAATGAATTTGCAAATATATAACAATTAAATTATGTTGTATCCTTGGAGCTTTTTCAATGACCTAGCATATAAATATAAAAAAAAGAGGTATGATCCTCAATGTGACAACTATCAATTAATAGACCAAAGGACAAAGATGTAAACATTTACTGGTCAATGTACAGCCTTAAACAATGAACAAAATCAATACCATAAAGTAACCTACAAGGATGAAAAATATAAACTACATACATACAGTAATGGCAGACAGCAAACAACATAAGAACCAACTTTCAAAATTAGCCAAAAAGGACTGGATTCATCAATAGGTCTTATAATAAAAAAGGTGCAAAAAACATGTTTTCCCAAACTAAAATATCTATCAGTTTACATTCAACAGATTTAGTGTAACAATGTTTCACAGTTTGTCATTTTATGCAGTCTTAAGAAAAGTATGACTGTGTAATGTCAAAATATTCAATATATCAAAAGGGTATAAAACCTATTTCTCAATGCAAGTATGCAAGGATGCACAGACAGACAAGTGTAAAACTTGATGCCCCCTCCGTTACGACAAGGGCATAAAAAAGAGATGCACAATGGGACTACGTCGGAAGTTTTAATAAATTATGAATTACATGTTTATGCAGAAAAAACACATACAAATGTGTGTTCTTGTGTGCAGATATAATTAATTCCATGTCAAATTTAACCTACATATAATATCACTTCCATTTACTGGAAACCACGAAATTAAATCCCCATGAAATCTTGTAAAGAGACAAAACCACGAAATTTTAACCCCACGAAAATTAATGTTTCTACAGTATATAGTCAACTGTAAAAGATCCTGACAAAGTGAGCAACAATCCAATCCAGAAAACTAGTGATGTTCCAATTACCAATGTGCAGTATTGGTTATAATATAAAAATATCACTTGTTTTCTCTCTCTTTGCCAAGTGATAACTGTATTCCTAATTTATTCTTATTGGAAAGCAGACTGCATCAGGTTAAGATTTTATATGATAATCACAGGAATTTTAATTTTCAGAATTAGCTCCTCAGATGTAAGTGGAAGGGAAGCTATATACATTATATGTTTAAATGAAATTAACAACAGGATTACATATTGAGGAGATCCTATAGCTACAGTATATATAAATGTAACTGGTATGTATTTGTCACAGTATTTAATTTCCAAATGGTATAACAAAAATACTGAATTCCAAGGCAATTTCAAAAAAATCGTAAGGGTTCCGCAGAACCCAGTGTCTCGCCTACTTTTGCTGTTAATTGCATCATTTTCTCATCACTTGGCGTCCGTCGTCGTCCGTTAACTTTTACAAAAATCTTCTCTGAAACTATTGGGCCAAATAAACCAAACTTGGCCTAAATCATCCTTAGGGTATCTAGTTTAAAAAATGTATCCGTTGACCCTGGCCATCAACCAAGATGGCCAATATTGCTAAAAATAGAACATGGGGGTAAAATGCAGTTTTTGGCTTCTATCTTTGAAACCAAAGCATTTAGAGAAAATCTGACATGGGGTAAAAATGTTCATCAGGTGAATATCTATCTCTGTTGAATTTTCAGACGCATCAGACAACCCGTTGTTGGGTTGCTGCCCCTGAATTGGTAATTTTAAGAATTTTTTTTTCAATTTTTATACGACCACAAAAAATTATTGGTATCACGTTGTTGTCGTCGTCGCCCAAAGACACTTGGTTTCCAGACAATAACTTTAGTATTAGTAAATAGAAATCTATGAAATTTAAACATAAGGTTTATAACCACAAAAGGAAGGTTGGGATTGATTTTGGGGGTTATGGTCCCAACAGTTTAGGAATCAGGGGCCTAAATAAGCATTTTTCTAGTTTCATGACAATAACTTGTGGAACAGTGTATGGATCTCTCTGAAATTATACTACAAGTTTCCATACCACAAAGGGATGGTTAGGAATGGCTTTGGGGGGTTATGGCTCAAACCATTTAGGAATTGGGGGCAAAAAAGTGAGAAAAAACAAGGGTGTCCTGGTTAATGGACAATTACTTAAGTACAAATTACAGTGTAAGGGAGGAAATTCAAATACATCTTGGAAATTTGAATTGAAATTATGACCATAACTGAGGGAAAGATTTTTTTTTTTGGAAAAAGGGGGGGGGGGGGGGGGGGGACAATTTTTTCTCTTCAAGATTTCAGAAATCAAAATCAAAAAGAAAATCCTTCAAATTTATTTTTTTTTTTAAAAAGGGGATGGAGGTCAATTCGCAACAGCATAGTGTATTACACAAAAGCAAAATTTTGAATATAAATTCAAATCATATAACCAATTTTAAGTTCTTTGACTACAGTTATTCTGTGTCAGAAACCTATTATGTGTCAAATATTGAATTGCAATCCAAATTCAGACCTGTATCAAGCGCGAATATTGTGTCCATATTTGCCCCAACTGTTCAGGGTTGGACCTCTGTGGTCATATCCAGCTGCGCTCGGCAAAGCAATTTATTGGTTATTATCTTGAACATTATAATAGAGATAAACTGTAAACAGCAATAATGTTCAGCAAATAAGATTCACAAATAAGTCAACATGATCAAAATGGTCAATTGACCCCATAAGGAGTTATTGCACTTTAAAAGTCAAATTTAAAAAAAATTTCGTAAATTTTTGTAATCTTTTACAAAAGTCTTTTCCTGAAACAACTGAGACAAATTTAACCAAACTTGGCCATAATAAGCATTAGGGTATCTAGTTTAAAAATAGAACATAGGGGGAAAAATGCAGTTTTTGACTTATATCTTTGAAACTAAAGCAAAAGTATATCGGTTGCATTATTTCATGCATCAATTGTAAAATAAAAAAAATATCAGGTGAGTGACACAGGCTCCTTGGAGCTTTTAGTTGGTATTGTAATTTAAATGAGGTTAAGACATGTAAGAAAGGGGCTTGAAAAATGAGGAATTGTGTTTCTACAAGCACTTAGTAATCTAGATCTATAATACTAAAATAACAAGGTCCAATTTGTGAGCCGGCATGACATAAAAATGACGATTCAAAGAATTCAACTTTATTTATAACTTATATATATAGGACAATGGTGTTGATTAAAAATTACACCATTCCAGGCCCATTTGTTTTCCACATAATTATTACTACAGATAATTAACAAGTTCTGGGTCGAAGGGTTCAAAAAGAAAGATTTTGAAAGCAGAGAAAACTGTGCACCTAATGACCAGCATGACATTATTAGATGACAAAACGAAAAATCTTAAAATTCAGGCTAAAAATAAGGCTAAGGTACTTTGCTTCAGTCACAACACCATGATGTCCCGGAGTATTCTAGTATATATTATATATACAGGTAATGTGTAGTACACATGCATGAATAGAGTTAGTTTTCATTATTACGGTAATTTATGTTGATAAAAATGAGAATATGTAGTATTATTGCCAATGAGACAACTATCCACCAGAGTCCAAATGACTGAATGTTAGCAACTAGAGATCACTGTATGAACAGCTTTCAACAATGAGCAAAACTGATACTGCATCTAGCAAGCTATAAAAGGTCCTGAAATTACAGATGTAATACAATTCCAATTTAGGTAAAAGACATTAAACGAAAAATAAATATGATAAACAACAACTATTATATTCCACTCCAGTTGTTCACACGATATATATATATATATATATATATATATATGTAAGTTTGGTAAATCATTGGAGATTAAATTGATGTTATCATTTTTTGCCTGATTGGTAATCCAATATTTGATGTATGTTTTACAAAAAATATATGCTGTTTTTGTCTCGCTTGACGGAGTCAAAAAGCGAGGCATAGGTATGCTGTTTCTGGCGTTGGTGACGACAGCGGCGTCAACAATGTATTAGTTTGTGATTAGGTCTAGTTTATAGTGAACCACAAGTAGTAAGTCGAAGATATTTGGTATGCAGTTGTATTAGTATTGGCACATCTCATTACCATGGAGATTATTTGGCCCCACCCCCTCAGTTATGGTTTATTGACTTAATTTGAAATTCTTGCTTAGTCTTCATGTATTAGTTTGTGATTAGGTCAGTTTATGGAGAACCACTACAGAGCTCCAGATAAGAATTCACAAATTGGGGTTTTTACCCACCATTTTTTTATGTAATTGGGTGATAAAGTTTTTTAAATTGCATTATCAATTCCAATTCACCCCTCAAGCAAATATCAAATTGGGTTTTTCACCACCAAGCTCCTTAATGTATTGGGTTTTTTCGTCAACACAATATTGAATATTTAGGCATGTTATATTCACATTATATCAACCCCAGATGTGTTTCCATCTTAAATGTGTTTCTTTCTTTGTAGAATATGTGCTAGCTGTTTTATTTGGTTTATTCACTGACGAGCAATTGAACATTTAATTTGTGTCCCGTTTTAAACGTTCTGTCAGTTTTGTATTTTCTCAAAACTTATGTAAACTGCAGCTGGTGTCACTAGTTGGACAGGAACTAATTGCCTTTCTAGATCCCATATGATCACCCTACAGTTTAATTATAGTTGGGTTAGGTGTGGCTAAGTGTTTAGATTTTTGTGTAATATATGTGAAATTTAGGTGTTGTAAGAAATTTTTGCCAGTCCTTTCACCTATTTGCCAGATCTACTTTTTAATAAAAATAAAAAAGTAGTTTCCAGATTTAAGATATACCCCAAAACCTTGAGGTTTATAGGGTGGTTTATAATGACGGAGACCACATTCAACTTAAATTTACAAATAATTCTGCAACATCAAGTAAATAAATGACAATGTTATACTGCACTTTCCAATAAGACAACTATCTTAAGCATCTAGAACAATTAGACCAAAACAAAAAAAGTGTCAAGCTGCATTGACGTAAAAAAACGGATATATGTGTATTCACTCATCAACTAAAATGAAAAAAATAATATATAAACTGTTTTCGTTTAATTCAATTTACATAAATCTGGGTTAAGTTGTCCCTTATCAGAACTTTTGGTTTCCGATGCTTTCAAACTACATATCATGTCATAATTGATTTGGCCTTTCACTTTTTCCAACTGATTTCGTTTTTGACGGAACCCCGTGTTTATCGCTCTAGCAATGTTCTCGTTATGGTACGCAAACACGCCCGTGCGTTCAATGGCCGCTTCCTAAAATCACTAGCTAAGTCTTGTTATCATCATAACTTTCCCTCAGCTATCAAAAAGAAGCCGAAAACATGCTTCTGTTCAATATTTTTACCGGACATTTACTTTCGTTTTAATTCATTGTATGTTGCGATAAATCCCGAGCAATTCGAAAAAAAATGACAGCATGTCACACGCTAATTGGATAAACGCCGAGAAGATCGAAATCTTTTCATAAACACGTGTACCTTTTGAGCAACGGAAAATTTCAACATGGACCCATTACAGCTACTTGATGCAGGGCTCTATTTTTAGAACGAAAGGACATTTCCAATTATAAATATTATAAAAATAGATTTACGCGACGACTGTAATCAAGTAAGGGTAAATAACGCAAACGATAGCGAATAAAAGCGTTAAAAACCCATGTTTTTGGCATATAATTGGGTTTTCCTTTGAATTAATTGGGTTATTGAACCCTGCAATGGGCAATTGCATTGGGTTTTTAATTATTTTTATTGCGTGATCACGCAAATACGCAGCTTATCTGGAGCTCTGCCACTAGTGGTAAGTTAATTATGATTGGTATGCAGTTGTATAAGCATTGGCATATCTCATTTCCATGGAGATTATTTGGCCCCACCCTCTCAGTCATGGTCTATTAACTTTTAAATTTTTGCTTGGTTTTCGTGTATTAGTTTGTGACTAGGTCAGTTTATGGGGAACCACTAGTGGTAAGTTCATGATAATTGGTATGCAGTTAAAATACCCATTGGCATATCTCATTTCCATGAAGATTATTTGGCACTGCCCCCTCAGTCATGGTCTATTGACTTTGAAACTTTTGCTTAGTTTTCATGTATTAGTTTGTGATTAGGTCGGCTTATGGGAAACCACTAGTGGTAAGTCAATGATATTTGGTATGCAGTTGTATTAGCATTGGCACATCTCATTACCATGGAGATTATTTCCCCTCCCCTCAGTTATCGTTTATTGACTTTAAAATATCTTAGTTTACATGTATTAGTTTGTGTTTAGGTTTTTTAAAGGGAACTTCTTATGATAAGTCAATGGTATTTGGTATGCGTTGTATTAGCATTGGCACATCTAATTTCCATGGAGATTGTTTAGCCATGTACCTTTAGTCATGGTTCATTGACTTTGAATATTTGCAAATCTTACATGTTAAAGTGTTGCTATTTTAATTTCAACATTTGCATTATCGAAATTACTAAAAAGCGAGACATATCTCTGTGATAACAGTTTATTTTTTTTATTACAGCAACTGTATTCCAAGAGTCTGATGGCTGATAATGTATTACAGGATTTTATCATTCAAGCAACATCTTAGAAGGATAAGTGCAAATGTATGAAGGAAGACTTGGGTACAAATAGCAATTACAGCAATTACATGCAGAAGAGAACTCTTAACATTACTAACAGACATGTAGTCATTATATGGGAGTGGTGTATTCAAGAAATCTAAAACACATGGAATTAAATATCGTGTATATTTTTTCAACCACAAGTACTCTCAGAATATAATACAATTCAAATTCAAATTATTGTGCCAACATGACAATTACAGTCTAAAAATGGAAAATGCATGTTTTAAACTGATTTTTATATAAATATTTGAAATAACAAGAATTTTTAGTTTATTGTGCAGCCAAACTTTGAGATCTTCTAATGGTATATGCCTGTTGTTTGTCAACATTTTTTTTTTTTTGCCTTAATCTTAAGATTGGTGTTAAAATGAAAAACTGAAATAGATATATGAAATAAGAAGGAAATGGTTGTAAATAACAGCAAGACTTTCAATATGGTATATCAAAATATATTTCACAGAACTTTCTATTTCAGTTTATTAATACAATGAGATATGAGGTATAAATAAATCAGACAGCTACACAACAAAAACATATGAAAGGCATTAAGGTGCTAACATACAGTCCTCAACAATGAACATGTGTCTAAACAATGTCATGATCTACTTAATTAACCAGAGTCTATACCAATCAAAGAGCTGCCATCAACACCAAATTCTTTAAATATTTTTTTTTATTAGGACAACCACTGAAAAGGTTCCTGGCTTGAAACAGGCACAGGAATATGTGGCAGGGTGAAATACTTTTTTTCTTCAAAACTTTCAAAAGAAAAATTGGCATCTTTTGCAAGTAAGACTATTTCCATAATGGGATTGGATTATCTCATGGCTGATAACCACAAAATGACTTGTACATACATATTAAAAATGAAATATACATTAGTGCATACATATTCTATAAATGAATCACCAATCCTTACATGACTTTTAAAAAAAGTATTGAGACTTGAACATAACCGAAAAAATTCTAGGAGTGAACTAAGGTGACCTGGATATTTGCTTGCCTTCTTTGTTTTATTGCATCTTATCTCTTGCATTGGAGATATTGTGAGTTGGGAGTTGATAGATAAATATTTTTTGTATTGTTTAGGATCAAGAAAGTAAAATATAATGGAAGTATGAACACATAGTCAAGACCAAGAAGAATATTTATATATCAAAATAGAATGTGTACTAGATTAGCATTAACTTATCTAAAATATGCTCAAATACTGTGAATTTGTGTGATTGATGCTCAATTCACCTTAATTTCATTTTGCCTGTGTATATATAGAGAAAACACATGTATAACGCATGTGTTAGAAAAATGTGTTAGAAAAATGTGTTTGAAATTGCATGTAATTCACATGAGAACTGAGAAACATGTCAACAATCATGGTAATTGGACAAATAGGAGGACATTTTGAAAAATATTTAATACAGGCACCATGCCTTTTACATGTAGTAATCACGCATGTATCACAGGTGTATTTCCTTACGCATGTGATTCACATGTGAAACGCATGATCACATGTGTGTATCATGCGTAACACATTTGTTTTTCACACATGTGTCACATGCGTGGCATGAAACGTCTCTTTCACATGCGTGTGACACGCATGTGAAACGCATGTGTCACGCATGTACACATGTGTGGCATTTTTGCCAGTGTACGAAGTACAATTATTAGATTTAATTCCAAAACGAATAAAAATTGGAAAGAAAAAACTAATTGACTTTGATCATTTTATTTCATGTCCACGTCCAATTTTTTTTGTAAGTATCCTTGCTAAATAAATTTCTCATTGCACGTTATATCTAGGACTATAAATCTTACATGTTCTGATTTTGATTACTTTGAAAATTTATTTACGCTAAGTAAAATATGCCTTAGTCCATTATCTGTTAGTTTACACCAGAATGTTAAAAATATCAATAGTTTCCCCCCAACTCTTTTTCTGCCTTCAACGTTAGCGTTTCATTCATTGTGTAGTCGGGGCCTTAACACAGCTCGGTTGTGTCAGATAGTCCGATAACCCAGTTGCCCTACAATTTGACTAGGAAATTAATATTACAAACTATCTGATCATGATGATCATGATTGTCTGGTTAATTTCAAATTGTTCTTTTTCATAAACATATCCAACTTACCTCAAAACACCAATATTGAATTAGTACCGCCATTTGCTTTTCCATCGTTTTCCAATTAAACATGTTTTAACTATTTTCTTTACACATATTGTTTTCAACAATTTTTTTGAATACCTGATTCAACTGAAGTTGTATTAAGTTCATAGTGATAACATAATAAGTTATAAATTAAGTAAGAGATTTAGTCCTGTTTTCTAATTCATTAAAAAGTTTTGACTCTATAAATTAAACCAGGTTTAATCCACCCTTTTTTAAATAAGGAAATGCCTGTACCAAGTCATGAATATGACAGTTGTTTTCTATTCGTTTGATGTGTTTGAATTTGTGGTTTTGCCATTTGATAATGGACTTTCCGTTTTGAATTTTCCTTGGAATATGGTATTTTTCATATTTTTTACTTTTTTGGGGAATTATCATTTTTCTTTACTGTTTTCATTAATGCCTGAATCCGATTATGAGATATTTGGTTTTAGTTATATATAAAAAGAATTACTGGTTACATTGGGTTTTGTCCAAAATTGGTATGTTTTTGCGATAGTTGTGACCGTAGGACATAGAATATTGTTTGACAAAATATTTTGTTTTTCGTAATTTATGAATCAGTTGATTATATATTTGGAATTAGTAACATCATCAGGCAAAAATTGAGTTTCATTCCGTTTTAGTACTTTTTTTTTAGAATGATACGGACCTTTAATATAGTACTGCGTTGGCCCGACGTTTGTTTCCGGTTATAACTCTCGGTTGAACCATCTGTTCAGTGGAACAGGAACTGCTTTCCCTTCCTGAGCACATGCGACCAGTCCTTGTTTTTTTTCGGCGTGGTTTGTGTTGCTCTATGCTTCCATACTTTGTGTAGTGTTTTTGAGCATGGGACACTTTCTTTTACCTTTTTACCTCTTTGCCATTGTTCTTTCTGTCCTTGTTCATCATGAGATTTTTATTATGTATGCCCTTGGTTTTTTTTAGCTTTTCAAACACCTAAACTGATCATTATAATCGATCGAGACTCGTATTAAAAGAGTCGACCGTAATAACTAGATTGACTTAAATGAGAAAAGAGAAAAATAATAATTATTATTGATTGATTGCAATTAGTCATTTTGCATTTAGTTTGTTAAGTGATCGGCAACTTATTTTTTGAAAACAGAGGACCTCAATATAAAAAGATCTGAATGTGTTCAATATCAATATGCGCCAAATGTTTCCAGTCTTATGTTGTTTTTAGTATACCAAATATTCATCGGTTTTAATCTATGAGTTTGTTTTCGAAACATATTTTCTTGTGAAAACGATAGCTTAGCGAAAATATCTAAACATCAGCTTAATAACTATCTTTACCGTATAAGAGTTATTTCATCTTTAATTACAGAATTTTTCAATTACTTGATTTTAGTCTTAAATTTAGATAGGCATACATTATATGTTTTGATTACAGGTTGACAGGGCTTTGAATGTTACTGCTGGTACTGCTTGTACAGTTGCCACTCTATATTTCGGAAACAAATTATATGATGTGTTGATTACAGAACCCAAAAAAACTAGCAAGCTATGAATGAGCTCTTTGTACTCATCAAAGACTTTTTAAGAGTTACAGTTGTATATCTCTTCATCTATTTGCACGTCAAAAGTTTTAACAAGGTACCCTTTAGTACAAGACTAAAGCAGAACACCAAACTTGTATTCTTTATAAATGTTAAAATGCTTTGATACTATATATGCCCTTGAATTTTTACTAGATAACATTTTTGTTCGCTTTGGAGATTCCGTATATCGTCAGGTTATCGGAATTCCAATGGGGACTAACTGTGTACCACTTATTGCGGACCTTTTTTTGTATTGCTATGAGTTACAATTTATGACAAAAATCAACAAAGACCCATCGAAACAACATCTGATACACAAATTTAATAATATTTTTAGATATTTGAATGATATTTTGGCTCTCAATAATGACGACTTCAGTATGTATACTAAAGAAATTTATCCTGTTGAACTTACTTTAAATAAAGCTAATACTAACAATGACCACTGCCCTTTCCTCGATCTTGATATCTATATCATTAATGGAAAGCTTAATACTAAAATATATGATAAAAGAGATGATTTTTCATTTCCTATCGTAAATTATCCATTTTCAGATGGTGACGTTCCCTTGTCACCATCTTACGGTGTTTATATATCTCAACTTGTACGATTCGCTCGTGTATGTAACAATGTTTTAGATTTTAACGAGAGAAATTTATGTATTACTGAAAAATTATTACACCAGGGTTTTCGATATCACAAACTAGTCAAAACATTTACTAAATTTTATCATCGGTATAAGGACATCATTCGTAAATATAGCTCAACATGCAGACTTCTTATACGTTCAGGTATTTCACATCCAATTTTTTATGGAAATGTTCTTTATAAAGCACAAAAATGTCAGTATTCACCTCTGAAGCTAACAAAACCTTTAAATAGACTTATTAAGAAGGGATATAGTTACGATACTGTTGTCAGGTCATTAAAGATTGCATATTTTGGCGTTAATATTGATTCACTTATAGGGTCTTTGTATCGGCACAAAACACATTTATTTAAAAACCAGTTGTTGGCATGACACGGGTTATGTTCTTCTCATATATGTTATGATGGTATGATACTAAACCCCTAACGGGAAGGATTGTGCCTGATATTCATATGATGAAGACATAATCTTTCAATCAGTTTAATTGAAGTCTGGAGCTGGCGTGTCAGTTAACTGCTAGTAGTCTGTTGTTATTTATGTATTATTGTCATTTTGTTTATTTTCTTTGGTTACATCTTTTGACATCAGACTCGGACTTCTCTTGAACTGAATTTTAATGTGCGTATTGTTATGCGTTTACTTTTCTACATTGGCTAGAGGTATAGGGGGAGGGTTGAGATCTCATAAACATGTTTAACCCCGCCGCATTTTTGCGCCTGTCCAAAGTCAGGAGCCTCTAGCCTTTGTTAGTCTTGTATTATTTTTAATTTTAGTTTCTTGTGTACAATTTGGAGTTTAGTATGGCGTTCATTATCACTGAACTAGTATATACATTTGTTAAGGGGCCAACTGAAGGACGCCTCCGGGTGCGGGAATTTCTCGCTGCATTGAAGACCTGTTGGTGACCTTCTGCTGTTGTCTGTTCTATGGTCGGGTTGTTGTCTCTTTGACACATTCCCCATTTCCATTCTCAATTTTATCAATGTGACACATGAGACTGTTTTAATAGTTGTAAACAATTCATGTATTCTCTCACTTTGGTATGAAAAAAACAATTTATTTGTAAGTTTGTTTCACGGTTTCTTTGATTAAAATAGTTTATATTTCATGTACACATTATTTAGTGATTGTGAATCATTTGAAAAAATTGAATGTGCTTATTCTTAATCAATACAACAATAATTTTTCATAATGTACATAAAGTATTTTAGCTTGTATTTAATGGACTGGGTGAGTATATTCTTAACTATGGAATTTCCAAAAAAAGGAATCTGCTGTCATTCACTTTGATTTCATTTTCTGCAATGCCGATTATATATATTCCCCTGTTTGTTTGGTTATTCTCTACAGGGACAACAACTTTATTTAATGGAAGGGTCATGAAACAAAATATAAAATCAGAGGATCAAAATACTATGACCTACTATAAGCACATTGACTTATATGTGGAAACCTTATCTTCTTTGCACAATAAATATGCTGATGTTCCAGTAGAAAAAGTCTGAAGCCATATTAGTTTTAAATGAAATATATTTCTTTTTTTTTGGATTGAATAACAACAAAACATTTGATTCACTGGATATATTGGCACTCCGCTAAAATACCTACATAATTTACGAAACTGGCGGTTTTAGAAAAGTGAAAATCCACCTTCGTAGTTTATTTGTCTTTTTAAATGATATGAGCTAGAGACAGGTGTTACTTGTGAAAGAGGACTAAAAGCTAGCCACGCAAGACAGTCTTTCTATTTCCCAATATTGGTCGTATTACTATGCATTTTATTTATAACGTCATTATTTATATATAGTACCTCAGGGTGTGGAGAAGGGTGATCCAATGGTAAATCTGGTTGCATGAAAGAGGGTGGAGCCTCGTCTTGATAACCACTAGGTACAAATTAAAACAAGCCAAATCCTATATCCCCTCCACTCTTTTTTTAACTGACAATAAATAGCCGAACCAGCAGAACTGTCAATGCTAGTTCGTAGAACTATTATATTGGCGTCTTCAAGCAGTTTTTTTAGACGAGTTTTCAAGTTTAATATTCGGATTAAAATAGAAAGAGAAGGGGCCGTTGTAGCATCCGTTGTCTTGAATTAGGGGATCACTGACAGGTCGCCTTTGGCCTCCAAAAGCTGTGCTGGGGTAATCAATTTGGTAGAGAAAAAAGAAGCAAGGGTAGGGTTGAACTTCGTTGCTGCGTTTCAGTCACGAAGAAGTCTGATATTTTGAATGGTATCATAGTTATCCGTCAACTGAGCCCTGGTAGGGATTTGTATAAACACCAAAGGAGAAAGTGAAAGCGAGTTTAAGAGCACATTTATCACAAAATATTGCAGCAGTATTACCTCTGAAGTCGCATCAAAAGAATTGCTTTGTCCCAGTATTAAAGTGTGTTCCCAGGGGGTGGATGTTTTCGTTGCCGGGAGGTTGGCTATTTTTAGAGGGAGTGTACTAAAGTCTTCAAAGAAAGTTCTCCAACACCAGGGGGGAAAGGTTACTTTTCAGGAAACCAAGGGTCCGTTAAACTCCAACAATACGACTTAAGAGGTCTGAGTCTGGTCCCTAAACATGAAAGTAGTAATGACTTCAGAATAAACCAATACCCCTCCAATGCAGAGAGGGGATTTATAAAGGGCCAAATAATGGTTTCCAGGGAGATTAGTCAGTCTTCCAAGACGAGCCATCAGAGATATAGTTGGTCTACACTGATTGTTTCTAGCAATGATTTAATCTCAAAGTATTATGTAATCAAAATTATAATTACTTCTACATGAAATTGGAGAAGATAGACATTTCGGCGTGTTTTTAAATCTGTATTTAAAAAAACGTATCCGATGTTTCCCTGACAATTATTTTGCATTTGTTTCCTATCTCATAAAATCGTATGTTGAAACAGCATTACAGACTTGTTTTTATTCAAACAAACATATGATTGCCAATGAGACAACTATCTATCAGAAGCCAAACTACTAAATGTATAGCCGTTAGGTCAGCGTACGGCTTTCAGCAATGACTCGAAAATTCAAAATATAAAATGTTTTGCATGATTGATTGTTTGTTGGTTGTTTCACGTTCAGTGACAAATATTTCATGCACGTTCAAGTAATGTGACAATTATTACCAGATGAATTTCATTTAGGGAATCTTTCAATTTTCGCCTCTTGAGAGACACCTGGTTGATAGGGGAGTTATAACATTCAGGCAAATGAAAAATATTTGAAAAATGTGAAACTCTGATATTCTGTACCTGCGCGTTATTATGCTGATAACTGTCCATTGGAATTTGAAACAAAATATCAAGTACATTTGAATAAAAGTATAGAGTGTGTAGATGTTCAATTCAAAATTAAAACATTTACTCTATGAATTAAACCCATTCGAATAGAGAATGAATAAATAAAATAGTAGGAAAATAAATATCATATTTAATTTTCGTTCATTATTTTGAACATAAATCAAGCCGTAAGTTTTCTCGTTTGAATTGTTTTACATTTGTCATTTCGGGGCCTTTTAAAGCTGACTATGTGGTATGGGTTTTACTCATTGTTGAAGGCCGTACGGTTAATTTCTGTGTCATTTGGTCTCTTGTGGAGAGTTGTCTCATTGGCAATTATACCACATCTTCTTATTTTTATATGTCTGTTGTAAGCTTGTTTTTTTGTCAGCAAAACTAAAACAAAAAGTTAAATTTATACTCTGTGAAATCAAAAATAAAAAATGAAAATATTTACGATATTTTGTCGGACATATGTTATTACATTCATAAGGAAAAGAAATTAGTGGTTCCTTGGGGAATTTCTTTTTATGCGTTGTGTATAATAAGAGTAGTTAAATGTACAAATTCAAAATCGTGACGATTAAAATGTGTTATGATGTAATCAGATAAAATTGAGGACTTCCTGGTATGATTACCAACCAGGTTTTTGTTTTCATTTAGCTTCCGTGAATCGTCAAACATTTACCTGGTAAGGCTTTGATTTAAAAATGTAAAATTTAATATATGTGTATATTTTTGTGGTATTCACTTAAATTAAAACAATCACTTTGAACATAACTTCCAGAAGATTTCGCTTCAATAAATCTTCTACTTTGAATTATAACAAAACATGTTATTATTTTTAGAAAATACCTTACGCACTAGTATAGTCAATATTTCCATTATTAATTACACGTATTTAATGAGAGAAAAAATATACATGAACTTATTACATGTATCAATACTATAGTATTTCCATTATTAAGCTTTTAATAAAAAATGAAGAAATTCGCTTAAATAAATCTTCAACTCTGTATCATAATTAAACATAATACACAGAATGTTGACTTGTTCTCGTTCAAAATATAAAATTATTCGGGTAGTTCGGAAAGTTACACTTATCACTGTATTGTTATCTGAATGTTATTGTTTAGTTTTAAAGAATACACACGGCGCAGACTTTATATATCGCTGGAATGTCAAATAAAAGTAAAACTCCAAAACTATCCCCCAGTGGTACTGATATCAGTACGTTAACCGCTGAATTAGAAATTAAAAATGACTTGCTGGATAAAATAGACAAGAAAAACAGCCAGCTGTATTCCGAAAATGAGCGACTGAAAAGAGAAAATAAAATATTAGAAAGAGATAAAGATGATGCTCTCTCAAGGTAAGAAGTTTATGTAAGATTAAACAATATTTCCATTATTACGTATATAATAAAAATAAAAAAATACATGTACCCATACTCAATATTTTCGTTTAAAATATTTGATATAAAAATAATCACAAAGTTGTGGTCAACTAGGTCATTGACAGCTGTAATAGATCCGATCGCGATTTCAAACGTTTACCATAGGATAATTCCTAATTGTCTACCGTTTTAATTAGGGATATGTTTGTCTTCACTTTAAACATTTACTTTACAAGTTTAATGCTGCGAACGTAGAAACTGTACTATAATTAGTTTCTTTTGAGAAAAAATAAACTATTTCTGTGCTTTCGTGATATTGTTTTCACCACCCGTTGTTTCTGTCACTGTTAGGTGCATATACATTTAGTATTGTATATATAGGTTAAGTAAAATAGCAGGAGAGAAACTATCAAAAGGGAATCCATCCATAACAGATCTTGGGGACCCAAACAGGCCTACGAAACTTGGAGAAAGATGGAGCTCGCTTTATACCGATGAATGGACAGACGCTTTTGAAGAAATAAGTGCAAAATGCAAGACAAATAAGACTGTTGTTCCAGAAAAAGTTCTGTTGAATATTGTGGATGTAAGTAGTAAAAAGTTTAACATACGTAAAAAAAAACGTATACAGTATACTCTGTGTGGAATTTACATTATATCGGTAATACATATATTAAACCCATTATTTACATCCTTAGTCTTATTGGCCATCATACCACATCTCCTTAATTTTTTTAAAGGCATTCAGAAAAGTCAGGATTGTCGACAACAGGTATCTGCTGAATTAAAAATTTAGTGCATATACATGTACAAACTTAAAAAAAAAGGACGTTTGTATTTTTATAAGGATCAGCTGTCAAATACTTAAGAGATGAACATATATTTGCATTTATATATACTATTCTGTTGATATAAGTATAAGCAAATGACAATAAGTGAGATTTTGACCTCGAAATAACGAAGAACCATAAAAACGTTGACTTTGAGTTATTCAAAGCAATCAAACAAACAAACTAAACGATACCATTTATAATTGAATTATTTCATAAACTTGTAATTAAACAAAATATTATTTCATAAACTTGTAATTAAACAAAATATATCACATCAATCAATCAAATACTTTCAAGTAGTCGCTAATATACATCTTTTAATCACGTGTACAGGAAATTTCCTGTTGACTGTAGTAATGTCTAATAATGATTGAAATCTCATTGTTTTGTCATTTCATAGACGTAAAATAAAGCTCCTTCAATCAATAACTTGCTTTTATTCACTGTTTTGACATTAAATAGATGTAAAAGTTAGCTCCTTCAATCAATGAATTACCTTTTTTTTAAATTTAGTGGTGTTACACAACATGCAGCAAGTTATCTCAGAATCAAGCCAAACGAATTGAACAGTTGCTTCGGGATGTTGCTCTTCAATTAAATTTGCAAGACAAAAGCAAAAATGACATCGTAAGTAATTATATTAAATTGAATGTTTTTACAATTATATAGTTATCTGACATTTTATGACTATGAAATAAAGAAATTTTCCACGTAGCTATTGATTACTCTGAAATACAGGCATATATACGTTTGTTACTTTTATGCAGACACACACCGTGTTGTCATTGTGACGTCATAAACATGTATTACTTTACATAGCTGACCAATAATTGTCAATTCAAGTATAGTTTTTGACAATTAAAATTATGACAACGGCCTTTACTAAAGACATATCAACATCTTTGTTCAACTAGTAACAAAATAAGAAGATTTCAAATTGAGTCATTTAAATTATGTCATATTTTGCGGATTATTCTTTAACTGAAGGCCTAAAGCAAAAATTTAAAACAACATTCAAATATATTAAATATTGATGTATAACAGACTAATAACTCTTGAACATTAGAGGGGTGCAATTTGAAATTTATATAAAACATTTTTTAAGTCTTTTGATATAAGTGGCCTGATCATAAGTTTTCATTTTGAACTTAAACAGTTCACTAATTTTTATCATGTAAGCAGCAAAGCCACAATCATTGTATATACAGTAGGCAACTGATAGTCCATATAAAATATGACAACGAAAAAATCTAGACGTATATGTACAAGTACGAAGATAGGAGAGCCAATGTCTGAGAACGGCTTTTTTCTCTAGCTTGTACAAATATATCTTATATTGCTACCAAAATAAATACATGGAACATGTATATTATGAGCAACATTTGAAAAAAATCTATCAACTTCACAAATAATACATGATGGTCTTGAAGTATAGCTTTAAGATACTGACGTTGTTTATCATCTTTTAAATAACATGTTATATTATTATACTTCACGTAAAAATGCAATACTTTGGTTGGCTTATACGAGGGTGTTAATTTACTCTATTCTATGGTAAATACTCCATTACCCTTCACGGAGACGCTTGATCAAGTGTGCGCTTTATTAAATACGACTCTATCCTATGGCAAATACTCTATTACCCTTCACGGAGACGCTTGATCAAGTGTGCGCTTTATTAAATACGGATGGTTGTTATGTACAAGAAGTCATAGTTTATTACTTTGACTTTGAAATTTAATCGACAGTAATAACAGAACATTCAGTATAATACATTAAATAACACATATCTGAGAGGGTGATAGAGCAGATTGTTACCCCTCGAAAAGACATTGTCAACCTTGGCTTCGCCTCAGTTGACAATGTTTTCTCGGGGTAACAATCTGCCCTATCACCCTCTCAGCTATGTGTTATTTATATAGTGTTCTTTTCTTTGCCTTTGTAAATTATTAACCTTTACTGTTTAGTCCGTTTTTGGTAATATCCGTTTGGCGTGGCTCGGTTCTTATACATCTCGCCATTGTCTTATTGTGCTATTGTCATTTTTTGTATTCTTGTCTTTCATTTTTGCTTATGTGCTTTGTCTATTTGCCATTTTGTTTTTCTTTGTTGACACGCATTGTTGTCAATATAATTGAATTTTATGCGACTGTCATACAAGTGAGAGGTTTAGCTAGCTCTAAAACCATGTTTAATCCACTATTTTTTACATAAAGAAATGCCAGTACCAAGTCAAATCCATTCGCTTGATGTGTTTGAGCTTTTGATTTTGCCATTTGATAAGGAACTTTCCGTTTTGGATTTTCATTGGAGTTCGATGTTTTTGTTATTCTACTTTTTCACACAGAAAGAACTGAAACACTATACATGTAGTGTGCAGACTATTGGAAATGAGGGCTAAAACCATGTCGAAGTCTGTTCACAGAATGAGAGAAGATACCAAGAAGATAAAACAAATACAAAAAAAAAAACTAAGCACACAATGACCAGAGAAAAAATAATCCACCGTCCACAAAATTTCACACAGAAAACAACACATGGGAGAAAACTCAAAGGCGACAAGACAATAAAAAAAACAAAGAAGATCATGACCAAAGAAAAACAACCAACAGTCCACAAAACCCTTCACAGAAAACAAAACATAAGGCAACACTTATTCCCAGACAATGAGAAGAACCTCATTTTTTCTTTTTTTTCAGAATCAAAATATCCATGAAAAATGCAACATGACAGTCTCTGAAGTAGACGACTCAATAAATCCTTTCATTGAAATCTTCAGAAGTCAACGCCAGAATAATGAGCGGTTGATGGAGACAGCAGTAAAAGTATGTAAATATTACACAATTGTTAATATTTTTATTTAAACTTCAGAAACTTAAATGACCTAAAATCGTATATTTTATGTCACGTAGTGTTGTCATTTTAGCGGTATTTTTAACATTGCCATATAAGTGGGAGGTTTGGCTAGCCATAAAACCAGGTTCAACCCACCATTTTTTCTTAAAATGTCCCGTACCAAGTCAGGAATATGACAGTTGTTATTTACAGTCCGTTTCTATGTATGTTGGCGTTTGCTTTTGTTGTAGTCCAGTGTTTCTGTCGTTAAATTGTTTTCCTCTTATAGTTGATGTGTTTCCCTCGGTTTTAGTTTGTTAACCGGATTTGTTTTTGCTTAATCGAATTATGACTATTGAGCAGCGGTATACTACAGTTGTCTTTATTCATAAGCATTACCATAAGTATACTTGAGCCATGAGTTCGTTATTCATTTGAGGTGTTGAAATCTGCAGTGATTTAAGGATAATTGCATTTTGTAGCATCGAAGTAAATTGAAACCTTTCGATTCCAAAAACAAGCTGTCTGTTGAAAATAAATAGCATAAAATATTTACTAGGAACTTGACATACAGATTTTCTATACGAATACCGAGTTAATTTTTTTTTTAAATGATTGAATTAGAAACCAGCAAGAGATGCATATACTTATTCATCAAATTAACCGACTACAAAATCATTTTGTCCCCATAAGAATACAACCATTTGATATTCTGGAGGGGATTGGTACAGAAGGATTGGTTTTCGCGGATTGCATATTCATTTTTATTCGTTGCTACATCAATATTATAGTTATTATTTTAGATTGGAATGTGATAGATATCATCGTCTCAATAAAATACCTTTCATGCCCAGTTCTGGAATTAAGATCCCTAGCTGTCGGAATTTCCGCAATTTCGCCATACTTTTCAGTTAGATCTTAATTATTTCCTTAATGTCTACCCTAGGCGGAAAGTATACTAAATACAAGTATATGTCTCTTTCGAACTTCAAAAAATCTTTTCACAACTTCATCCGTAGGTACTCAGACGAACCGTTTTTTAAGAATTTATATCCTTTTTTATACTTTTCCAGATAAGGATACATGGTCCATCAAAGTATCGATCATTTTGTTTTCTCTACAAAATTTATAGGAGTGAGAATTTAAAAATTTTATATTATATTTATATCCAATATAAGTATGTTTTAACAGAACGATATCGATATTATCAAATTAAGAGATACATTCTCATCGTAAGTCTTATAATGATTCTCTGATAGTATACCATCCACATTTCAGCTGCATATATTTTAGCTACTTCTCATCTCTTCTAGTGGTATATTTTGAATTTGTATTTGAAAATTGGTTATATATGAATATATAGCAAACAAAACTAGGTTTCCTTTGTTTGCCTTATGCTTTTTTCAGCCCGAGTCGATGTCAAGTTGTCGCGCTGCGTCTTTATAAGCATAAAGCTATGTCAATGGAAATCTGATATATGATTCAAGAATAGCAGTTCCATTATTGGTTAAGTGAAACCCATCATGTTCATCGATAAAACTCGTAATTGCTTAAGCCTTGTAGGCCATGTTGCCATTGTCACATTAGGTTATCGATTTATATAACCTGAACCTATCTATGATCATATCAGTAATGAATTGTCCTTTGTTATTGAACTTCTGCAAATCTTTTTTTTTGGGATTTGAAGTGATAAAATTATTTTTGTGTTGGGATAAAGCTCTTTATTGTCTTGAAAATTTCACCCATTTTGTCTACACACATTGCTAGATTTAGGTCATTTAGGTCAGGAGTATGCGGAACCAGAGTATTTGGTGCCTAATGTTAATTTCTTATTCCCTTTTCAATTTTGTATAGGGTAAAAGCTTGACTTTTATCAAATTTATAGTTAGATGATAGTTTTTCCGCGTTTATCTTACTTGTATTTGAGGATACATTTATGCATATTGTTTGGTTTGTCTGACAACTACTTAAAATTCACCACCAGTATCGTCTTGCCTGTTTTGTAATTTTAAACTTAAAATCTCTTGATCTATTTGTTCTAGTTGACGATCCACCCTAGTAAGAGCACTTTCCAATAAGTCAATCCTTGCAGATTTCTGCGTTTAATCATTTGAAATCATATCTCATGTTAGAGAATAAATTTTTAATGTTGTCCAATTGAGCAACATTTTGCTGTTTAAGAAGTGTGCATTTAGATATATTTTAAGTAACTTTTTTTAGAGCAGAAGTGTGGTAAATGTTACTTAATTTTCTCCTTAGTTCACAATGTTCTCTCGTCACAGTGACCTTTTACCTATCATTTAAAATTTTTCCATTACTTTGGTACTAAATCTGTTTTGATTTTATTGAATACTTTGCATATAAAGATTGCCCATTTTCTCCGATTGCATATTTTATTGATGGCATTTGTGAAATGGGTCTCCATTCGGAACATAAATTTCATTAATAGCTGTCTGTCAGTTTCTATTGTATTTTGAGATGGTGCCATAGTTTTATCTCTGTGTGTCTCTTTGTTCACTTCAATAGCCTGAGGTGTATCATTATTATGGTCAAATTTATCTTCTTTACTGTATATATTTTCAGAAATGTGTTGACGATTATCTATCATCAAACAAGGAAGCTACAGAAAATGAAATATTTTTTGTTAAGAAATGTTTAGAACTTTGCTGGTGCATATGCATTGCTGATCCACCGATGGTTGTCGAATACAAAAACTTTGAAAGAAATAAGATTGACTCTACGAAATTTAATAAATATAACAGATCTGGAATAACCGTGGAATTTGTAGTATGGCCTGCTTTGCTGTTATATGAAGGTGGACCTGTTTTGGCAAAAGGGACTGTGCAAACGAATTGTTAAGGAGTAAAACTTTTGAGCCTTGGATGGTATCTTAACATTTAAGAGGGAATTATTCAGCACGGATGAGCGTGAGACAAAAGAAAGACAGATTTTAAAATATATGGGAAATATTTTTGTCTTTTATAACGATGAATTTCAGCATAGGAATACGTGAAATAAAAACTGTCGACACGTTAAACAATTAATCCTCATTTACAAAGTACTGTTTCAGTACTGGATCAGTTCTAACCTTTCTCAAATTCATCTGCTAGCAACTGTCTGGACAACTTTCAAACACTGTCTGATATGATAAGTAAGTGTGGCCTAGAACCGTTTTGAAAAGTTTTAGCCTAGCATAGTTTTTATCAGTTCTGTCATGGAACAATTTTTTTCAGTTCTATCTTAAACCAGTTTTGGACCGTCTTACCCTAAACGGTTTTATCCTAGAAGTTATCCCGATAGTCGGCTCTATCATTTTTAATAGTTATTAGTTTTACATATTTATTCAATTTGTTTATTTGTTTAATTTTACTATCTATTGATTTTATTTATAAAGAATTGATATATTCTTTAAATCTATCTTTGTTATTTCAAACAACATATTTTCGGAAATCGTTGTTATTTTAAAATTATAAATATTTAGTATTGATCATGATATGACATTGTTATTGTTTTAACTGTTTTTGGTTATTTGGAGATTTTGATTCTGATGTCAATGACGGATCTTTGACATTTTCTGTTTAATATATTATCATAGTTGTTTCAAATTTGGAACGAATTAAAGCTTGACGTATTGTATAGATTTTTTTCTCGTGGTGCTCTCAAGACGTGTTTTGTTTGTATTGTTGGGTTACTGTCTCATTAAGGTATACACAGAATAGTATTTTTTTCATATTGAGTCCATATTTTCTATCTAGAAAGACGCCTTAAAAAATCTCAAAACAGGCAGCATATATGAGCAGTACTATTTTACCTAAGTATAATAACAATATTAAATATATATAACATGTATAAGCAGATATAAGAAGATGTGGTATGAGTGCCAATGAGACAACTCTCCGTCCAAGTCAAAATTTATAAAAGTAAACCATTATAGATCAAAGTACGGTCTTCAACACGGAGCATTGGCTCACACCGATCAGCAAGCTATAAAGGGCCCCAAAAATGACTAGTGTAAAACCATTCAAACGGGAAAACCAACGGTCTAATCTATATAAAAAACGAGAAACGAGAAACAATTATGAACCACATCAACAAACGACAACTACTGAACATCAGATAAGGCATATAATAGTTAAAAGCGCTTACGCATATATCACACACTTTCGGTACAATATGAAAAGGAAGTCTTCCCCAATTAACAGATATAAAATGTTCTAAAAATAATTTCTTTTAAGGTACTTTTACCTTGGCACTTAAAAGAACTTAAAATTATCACCTGCACTTCAATTCATGGATATGAATTGGTAATCTAAAGGAAAACTGTCAAAATAAAATAAAGGAAAGTTGAATCAAACAGTTTACACTTATTTGATAACATAAACCAACGCATTACCTTCGACTTCAATTAAATTATCTTGTGCGCTTATTTTCAAAGTATAAAGTATTTTCTATTAGGTTAAAAGGAAGTAAATACAGATGACTGGCGCCACCTAGATTTTGCATCCAAGATAATAGGTAGAAGTAAATTTATTTCTTGCTGCCTTGGTAATTAGAAATCAAAATTGAAATAGTGAGAAATGAGTGTTGGCCATTGGTGTAGAAATAGCGAGAAATTTAGAGAAAACTCTCAGTGACGATCAACATTTTCTGTGCTAAATTTAGCAAGGGGTGTTCTTCGTTCACACTATTTCGAAAATTCCGGAACCGTTGAGTACCCTTAAAAAAGGTCATTTTTCTATCAAAAAAGCTGCGGCACCATATGTGTTTTGCCATTTCAATTACACCCAAAGGTGTTGATAATTCAGAATTCGAAAAAAATTTCAATGGATCTTTGATAGTGAAAACGTAGGACCAAAAAAGGCTACCATTGTCGCCTATGTAAATAATTACTTTCTGTAATCATTACAGTTATGAATGTTTTAATAATATATTCTTTGATAGCACTTTTACCTGTGATCATTTGAAACACAAAACATAAATATGACGTTATCTTCAAAAGCAAAGGTGACAAATTCTTCAAAAGAATCAATGGATGAATAGAAAGATTTACGCTGATAAAATAAACCAAATAATTATCTTCGATTTTATTTTAATTCTCTAATGCGCGTATTTGTTTTTATTCATGCCATGATATTTTATATAGGTAAAATATACATCTCCTTTTCTTAACCAAACCTTAGACTTTAACATTGGTATTTGCTGCTTATCCGCTTAACACGCGGTATTAAGGAGTAAGAGCAAAGACTGGTTGGCTCGGAGTCAGAATAATGTGTCCGGGTAAGGTGACATATCCTCCTGCCGATTGTTACCTTGTGAACTCGCACGTTAAAAATCAGGCTCAGCGTGTCGGTTTAGTACAAAGCAGGGTTAATATTTATATTACATTAACATGTTCTCGTCCTGAATATGCATATTAATTTGCCGCTAGACGTTAAACAGTCATCCGTCATCATCATATAAGTCTTTTACTGCACACATGCTGTAAAAACAAAATCGCAAAATCGATGTACAGCATTCCATCAAGTGTCCCTCTGACATTGATTACTCAATATTCAGAGGGAATATTTAGTAAACTTTACTTAATATCTTAAAAAGTTCTAATATCAAATATCTATATAATACTATCTAGTAATACAGTTATTCTCATGTATACGTTTGCGGATTTTTTCACACAACCGTTATCGGTTCTTTTCTTTATACAACTTGCAATAACGTATTTGAAGGGAAAAACGTAGTATTACATTTTCCTTGCTTTAGGTTGGCATGTTGTGTACCCAAGGCAGGTGAAGGAAGTCAACTTAGAAGCGCTGTGGTTGGATGTAAGGGTATAAGATATTTTTTTTAATAATTTTTGAAAAATTGCAGTATGTATATTTACAATATAGATTTTAAAACCCATTGAAATATTTTCTTGAGAATTATTCAAAATACTTCCAAATTTTCATAGATTTGATGTAAAATGATGGTGGGCATGGATACCATAAAAAAGCTCTGTTAGAAGATGGTCATGATACTATTTGACTTCAATTTCTTAAACAGAATAATATTGAAGTACTTATACCACACATAACTGTTTTGTCAAGGTTTTTATTATAAAAAGTGGTAATTTTAGAAAATGATAGTATTGTCGCATATGGAAGAATAGATATCACTGTCTTCCCTGAATGAGCAAAGGACCTCATGGTAGTATATGGATATGGTTTCTACAAGTTTTGCTGTATATTTGGATTGATCATTAAACAAGCTTTTGGAAACTTGTACACTGTTAAAAACTGAAAGAAATGAAATGTTGTTTCTTCTTAACATTTTGCGCTATCTTTTTATTTGCAAATTTGACAAATTAGATGATCTATGACTTTCACTTGTATTTGTTTGTAAAAAAACGAAATTACGATTTTCAATTATGTAAACAAAAATTGTCGTATAAATATCTTGTTATACTTATTACCTAAACAACCAATAAGTGACACATTGATGTACATATAACAATATCAGTTGTGTATTTACATCGGATGAATTTATGATTGTGTGTGTTTGTTGAAGTCTATCGCCTTTTTTTCTCGACACAAAATTGTTTTAGGTAAGGGAGTTGTTGCCTTAGGTTCTCATTCATATATGCACACATATGAATACCAATGCATACATACATGGCATATATGCATACGTTTCGATACATATACACTTACACATTATCAACATATATAAACAATGTATATATGATAACAAAGCCAGACATATACATTCAATCGATAAAATAAAAGAATATCAAATTTTCTTCAAAATATGAAGCACCTTTGCTAACATAGTGATTATCACTATATTTGTCTTACTATATAATTCTACTATATTTCTAAGTTAATTTTTTGAAATTTTGTGTCTATTTGCTTGACCTTGCTATTTAATACATATTGTGCTTTATAACACGAAAAGAACTTTAAAGTAAGTGAATAAGTGCAAATTAAGGCATCATCATAAATCTAGCATTCTATTACCAGAGAATGAAAGCTTATTATATGCTCATTACTGTCAGGTTTTTTAAGTACACATTTAAATGAATTCAAAAGGGTTTATGATGTGATTAGGTGATTACATAATAATTGTAGTTATCTAATTCATTACAACATGTACAAAGGTTGTTTTCTGAAATTTTCCATTGGAACAACAGCTCCTTATTTGGCAAAATTAAATGCATTAATTTTCATCTAAACATTTTGAACTTATTATCTTTAAGATACTCGAAAGTGAATCATAGACAGTTTTTAAATTAATTTTTAGGTTGTCTCTATTTAGCACCCTTTCCCATTAAAAAAAAACATTAGGCGTTTCTCTTTGTTTAGACTAAATACTTATATATATAAATATATATATAAGATCCATTTATTACATCGGTGATCCGTTTATTTGGCAATCGCCAATGGCAGTCAGCAGGGATTAAGAACATTTGTTGTTCGACCTGTTAGTCAAATGCGTTTTGTTAAAATATACTTTTTCACTATTTTGGTCTTTTGGAAAATGTTGTTTGTGCTGTATTTAGACCCCTCTAACAAGAAATTTGTTTTGCATGCACACGTATAAAAATTGCGGTTTTTATCCAACGCAATCATAGGTTTGAACGTTGTTTTCAATTTAGACTTATATATATATATATATACATATAGATTGCCTAACAATGTAATTTTAACACACTATTTAGTATGTAAATATAAGAATGTTTAAAATATTTACAAAATGATGAAAATAAACGCAATATTTCGCTAGACTAACTAGCTTTATCAAGCGTGCATCTATCCAGGTGAAATCGGATGTAGATGATAAGAAACTTTTGCAGCTCAATGTATATGTTGCACTTGAATTTAGCTGCCTTGAAAATAATACATAATTTGGATGAAGTTCAAGATTTTTACAAAATTGGTAGTTGAAGTTAGCAACGTCCATTGGCATATATTACAGGATAAAAAGGACGATGCTGTGTACTAAATTATTCTTTATATTTCCTGTATCTTTTCTCATCTTTTTCGTTAAGACCATCAGGTTCTAAAGTGTGGAGTTGGTGGATCCAAAAATTTTCTCTTCTCCTTCTCGCCGTGGTGTCCCACTCGGTGTTGACTTCTATGATTTTGAAAGTAACATTATCAAAAGAATGTTTCGTTGAACGAAGATGTCTTGTGAGAGGACAGTTTTTGTTGGTTTTGTACCATGAACGATGGTTATTGAGCCGAAAATTAAATTTGTCCATTGTTTCTCCCACATACTGAATGCCACAAGTGTCACATGTTAATATATAAATTGAGTTCTCCGTTTTACAGTTGGAATTTGAGTAGATGGTATAATTTTGTTAATTTTGTAATTGAATCAATCTCTGTACTGATTAATCCACACTCCCATAGATTTGTATGTCATGTGCTGATATTTATAGGCACTTATATATATACATATATATATATATATATATATACAAGTCTAAATTGAAAACAACGTTCAAACCTATGATTGCGTTGGATAAAAACCGCAATTTGTAAACGTGTGCATGCAAAACAAATTTCTAGGTAGAGGGGTCTAAATACAGCACAAACATCATTTTCCAAAAGACCAAAAAAGTGAAAAAGTATATTTTAACAAAACGCATTTGACTAGCA